CTCTTTCCATTTCAGGACAGTTCTTCCCTCTACACCTCTGCCTACTTCTCTGTCAAGTCATTAATTAATTTATATATTTATTAAATGCTGACTTCTACCTAGATATTTCCCCAAGTCCTGTGTGGTTCTCGGAAACTGGATTAGTGCAGAACTGCATCAAATGCTTGAGTGACAAGGGTCCATAGGGTCTGTGTGTCTGAGGCTTTCTTCCCTCTCGGGGGCAGTGAAAACCCAAGAGAGAGGCAACCCGGTGAAGGGTGCTGACTGAGTGTGGATGGGCCCAGAACCCAGACTCTGCCCCAGCCCCTCCCCCGGCTCCTGCTTCCCCCCACCCACTCACTGAGAGTATGCTCCGGGCCAAGCAATAAGCTAGGCAGTTTGCTGATTGGAGTCAGGAAACTGAAGCCACCAATTTTTCCTGAACATGCATTCTTTCTTAAGCAGGGAATCGATTTCCAACAAGATACACAGGCTTCCAAAAAAGCCACTTATGTGAATCTGTACAAAACACTATTAATCTGCTGCTGGGGGCATTTATCTCCCTGGCTTGGGAGATCAGGGTGGTGGTGGTGGTGGAGGAATGGGTACGGAGGGCTCAGCAACCAGAGGGATGTCCCACGGCAGGGGTGTGAGCAGGCCTGTGTTGGGGGTCGCCCCACGAGGCTGGTGTACAGCACAGCACATTTGGCCCCAGACCTGTCCCTGTCCAGCCACAAGCTTGCCATGTGACAGGTCTTTCCCAGCCCTTCTCCAAAGCTCCCTCGCTCCACCTGTCTACAGGAATCAGTGGTTGTGAGTGTCCTTCTCACTCTCGGAAGTAAGATGCTGGGTGCTGGTACGGACTTTGTAGGAAGTGAAGAAACTTGGGTTTGAGTCTCAACCTCACCTTTCCAAGTCTCTGGGTTGAATTCTGTCCTCCAAAAACAGATGTGTAGGAGTCCTAACCCCTGGTACCTCAGAATGTGACCTTATTTGGAGATACAGTCATTCTAGAGGTAAGCAAGTTCAGATGAGGTCATCAGGGTGGGCCCTGATCCAGCATGCTGGTGTCCTTATCAAAAGGGAAAGTTTGGACACAATGACACACAAAGAGGAAGGACAGTGCAAAGATACAGAGGGAGAAGATGGCCAACTGCAAACTGGGAGGCCTGAGAAGGAGCCAACACCTCGATCTCAAGACTGCTGGCCTGCAGGACTACAAGGCAATGCATTTCTGCTGTTTAGGTCACAGAGCCTGTGGTGCTTTGTAACAGCAGCTCCTGCAGACTGATACAAGGGACTCCATCTCTGACTCCCCTGATTAGTAACGTGGGGACAGTGGCAGCCCATTGTCATATAACGGGGTTGTTTTAAGAATCTGATGAGAGGGTGTGTGTAAGGCACCTGGCATGCCCTTGGCATGTAGTGAGCGCTCAGTAGTGTCAGTGGCTGAGTCCCATATTGTGACCTCCCAGCTGCCCTGGTGGGGCCTGCAGGACACAGCCAGTGCAGAACAAGAGGGCCTCAAGTCAGACCTTTCAGAGAGAACTGCGTCACACCTTCAAAAGCCCCTTGAAATGTGAAGGCTGGAGACATCACTGGTAATGCAGTGCTGCATGATTTTTAGCTGGAGTGGCCTTAGCCCTAATTGATAGACCCGCGAAGCTAAGGTTTCTTTATTTTTGTGTCCTGAGTACACTGAGTATGTTGAGCTGCTATGGATAATCAATATGTGCAGTAGTCATGGCCATTTTATGGGTGTTTTATACAGAAGCTGGCATGGTTGTGATGAGAAGGGCATCTCCTGGATGACCCTGAGCAACTCTGTTATCCTTCTTGGGCCTCAGTGTCTATATCTGCAAAGTGAGGGAGGTAGACCAACAGGGCAGGAGATTTTACGCTGCAGCCTTGAAGGCCTATAAGTTAAGTATAAATTCCTGTACACACATGCATTGCACACACATACTTTATTGATAGCATTTTATGGATCCATAGCTTTTATATGGTCCTTGAATGGACCTCTGACTCCTAAATTGTCCCCAACTTTCCCTGACAACCTCATAGGGATGCTGGTTCCTGGCTGGTGGGATTCTGGGACTCCAATTTTAAAGCTGTTGCTGAGCCTCAGAAGGGAGGCTTACAGTGGTGGCTATTCTGATTTACTGGGATGAAAAGGATCAGGAACAAATAGAAAGAGCTCCTCAGAGGGCTTATAGCTTGGGGCTTTGCTGGCCAGGGTGGCCCCAGCTGCCCAGTACCCGGTGTCTCTGCTGTTGGCCCCCCTCCTGCTCCAGAGGCCCTCCGTGGAGTGTCAGTGGTGCCTCCCAGCCCCACCACCCACCCTGCTCCCCCAGTGAACCCATCTGCCTGCCTCTGTGCTGGCCCCGCCTCCATCATACTCAGAGTGAAGCCCCATTCCCTTACACTCCCTGCCCACCTGGTCTCCACCTGCCTCCCTGAAGGCACCTTCTCCCATCCCCCATTGCTTACCAAGCTGCAGCCTCCATGGCATTTGGTCAGCGCCTCATGTTCTAGGCTTGGCCCACATATGGGTCTTTGCCTTGGCTGGGCCCTCTGCCTGGAATGTTCTTCCCCACCTCTTCTGCTGCCTGACTCCTTCAGGTCTCAACTCAGATGCCAGCTTCTACAGGAAACCTTCCCTGCCGCCCCCACCCCTACATGATCTCCCGTCAGCACAGCCGGTTTGTCTCCTTCATGGCACTGACACAGTCTTAATGAAACATTTATGTGTTTTCTTCCCCACTGAGATGTCAGCTCCTGAAGGAACAAACTGAGTCCTGCAGTTTGCAGTGCCAGGCACATGTAGCATTTAATGAGCACTGGAAGGCACCACCAGCATGGTTGATATGAAAAATGACTGACCATACCAAGTGCTGGTGAGGGTAAGAACTGAAACAGCTGAAGGTCCATGCAGCTGCTGAGAGTGTACAGTAGTACAACTACTTAGGAGAGCAGTGTTGTAGTTTTTTATAGTCTGTAAAGTCGCATATATACTTGCATAGGACCCAGCAATCCCACACCTGTAGATTTGCCCAGGAGAAAGGAAAACGTCTGTCCACACAAAGACTTGTACACAAACGTTGCGGACTTGTTCTTAATAGCCCAAAACTGGAAACAAACCAACCGTCCATCAAGAATAAGCAAGACTGCTGCATCCCCATAGTCTGACCAGGCATGGAGGAGAAGGGATTCCCTGTGAGGTGGCTGGGAAGCCACCTGAGTGTTCAGTGTGGCCACAGCAGGTGAGCTGTAGTGACTTGTCATGTGGGGTGTTGGGCTGGACCCAGGGTGACATGGTGCTGGATGTTCAAGGTTGTTGAATACATGTGGTTGTAAAAGACCCAGCAGCTGGAGGGCAAGGCTGGTGGAGGGATGTTGCTAGAGACAGAGGCTTGCTGGGTACCGTGTTGCCTGGCCTGAGAGCAGGGGACGGCCACTTGAGAGATCCCGGCCCTGGTGCTGCCTGTGGGGGCAGGAGTCTTACAAAACACCAATTAAGACATTTGACCCAAATTTGGATAAAAGCCTTTTTCCTGTGTCAAGCAGAGCTAATAATACACATGTATTCATAATTTATGAGGCCTAGTAAGTGGGAACAATTAAGGAAAAGGCCTGGGCAAAACCTGTTTCTCTTAGCCTTTTTTTGTTCTCTGAGGTAATTCCACCCTCTCTGCCTCCATGAAACACTGTCCTTTTTATTATTATTATTTATCTGATTTCATTACTGTTAGCTACCATTTATCAAGCACTTACCAAGCCAGGCCATAACATTGCCTTGTTTAATTGGAATGGTATGGGGCAGCTGTTGTCCCACTTTACAGATGAGGCAGTTGAGCTTCAGAAGGGTGAAGGGACTTGCCCAAAGGTTCACATCTGGGGAGTGGGGGTGACGATTCAGGTCTGCCAGACCCCAGGGCCTGTGGTCTCCTGGTTCTGTGCCAGCCTCCCAGTTCAGGCAACTTCTGAACCTTCAGGGTAGCCCTTCCGTAGGTAACTATTAAATTCGAGACATCAGGATGGGAAAGTGATCATCACCTGGGTTGGTCTGGGGTTAAGGCTGGGAATTTGCACTATTTCTAGTAAGTTCCTGGGAGGTGGTGACTGTCCCACACTTTGAGAAGCACTGCCCGACTGGTGCTGTTGGCAGAGCCGCTGTGACTTCCTTTTGCTCCAGCTACCACTGTTGGGTAGGTTTGTGGCCCTGTGGGCCCTCTCCTATTTGCATATATATTGTCATACATAGAGGAATGTGTAGCTTGCGTTTTTTTTTTTTGCACCCATGGGATAATACTCTACCTGCTGATATCTGACAGTTTAGCTTTTTATCTGACATGCTTTGGACAACATAAACATCTACCTCGGTCCTTTCAGTAACACTGTAGCATTCCATAATACAGGTCATTATAGTTTTGTTTTCCTATTGTCTACTGATGGGTGGTCTGACACATTTTAGACATCACAAATATTCCTGTGAAATCCCAGGAAACAGGTGAGTTTCTCCAGAGCATAGCAATACCTCAGTAATGTCAGCCATTGTTAGGGCTGTTGTATCTTATTTCTTGTTGTATCTTATTAATATTGAGAAATGTTGTCTTCTAGAAATCCCCTTTCACATGGGGGCAGTTATGTATATAAGGCGTATCTCTCAATTCACAGATTCTAATAAAGTTTTCAACATAACAGTTCCAGTAAAAGAAATGAAGTGCCGTGTGAGAAAAGAGGTGCTATGTGGGCAGGGCTTTGACTATGTAGCAGTGCAGAGGAGGTGGGGAGAGAGCAGCAGGCAGGGTCTGTCCTGCCAGGGCCTGGTTTAGCTCCTGGTAGATTCAATAGTTGCAGAAAAGGGGGTTAGAACTTTACATCTCTTGGTCACTTGGCAAAACCAGCCCTTGGCCAGGAGCAGCCAAGGGTTCGGGCTGGCAGCACCGTGAGTGAGAGAGTCTCTGCATAGGTCTAGCCGAGCTCAGCTCTGACCCGTCCCCTTTCCTCTGTCTCCTCAGAGCGGAGGGTCCGGGGAGGAGCAGCTCTGCGCCGACTTCCCTGAGCTTGACCTCTCCCAGCTGGACTCTGGGGACTTTGACTCGGCCACCTGCTTTGGGGAACTGCAGTGGTGCCCAGAGAACTCAGCTCCTGAACCTGGCCAGTACAGCCCTGATGACTCGGAGCTCTTCCAGGTACGTGCCCCCAAGCCTTGCCCCCCTCTGCCTCACATGCCTCTCTCTGCTCCTGAAAGCCTGGCTCTGCCTGTACCACCTTTTTCTGCACACTTGCCCATGTGAAAAAGTCTCCTTACCCACCAAAGCTCTTGGAACCCTGTCTGTCACCCTGGATCTACACTTGATCTCGGGCAGTTCCTGCCCCCTTACCAGGCCTGTGGAAAGGAAGAGCTGCTCTCTCTGGGCCCCTGAGTCAGACCCATGCTCCCTGGTGGGCCAGGTTCCAAGTCCTCCCTTCCCTTTTATCTCACGGAATTCTCATTCCTACCCTGTGAGGCAGGTATGATTATCTCCCGTGTTACAGATGAGGAAACTGAGGCTTGTGAACATTCAGGCATGTGCTAGGGCAGTTTACCTAGTCAGTAGGTAAGCTAGAGTCAGACCCAGTCTGCCTGGCTCCTGAGCCAGGGATTTATAACCAAGGCGACCCCATTATGGGAATGACTCATGTTATTGAGCAACTACTCTGTGGCAGGACTGTCCCTGTTTGTGTATATTAACTCACTTAATTCTCTTAATAACTCTCAAACATAAGTATAGTTATCTTCATTGTTCACCTGAAGCCTAGAGTTTTTTAAAAAGAGGCAGTGTCTAGAAGCACTACGCATACATATACCTCTGACCCCAGTGTGCTCCCACACCTGGCCTGGGGGGCACAGCATGGTGGACGTTTCCTTTAAGAGGCCCTCTGACATGGAATAATACGAAGTCCGGGGTTTGCTTCAGAATAAAGGCAGCTCTGCGTGCATTTGCTTGTGTGGGCATGTGGTCTGGAGTGTAGTGGATGAAGTGGGCTCGGCCACGCTGCAGCTGGGCGATGGTCACCCTCGGACTCACCGTTCTTCCCTTGGAATGCGCTCCCTCGTGAACCCCGGGGGGACGGCCATGGCTCCCTGTGCCTGTCTGGCAGTGTGATATGAATAATTATGATTTTGTACTATGGGCCAGATGCCATGCTAGTGTGACACGAGCATCGTCTCCAGTCGTCCTCTTGGTGGGTTGCATTGTTCCTTCCAGAAATGTTTGTGGAGTTCCCTTTGTGTGTCCATGAGCTCACTCAGCAGTCTGCGGGGGACGCTGAGCCCAGATGGGCAAACACAGAAGCAGATGGTGGTCACTGTGACAGGGGCACAAAAGGAATAAGCCTTGGATGAGAAGATCTAAAGACTCGTCATCAGGAAAGGCCCCTCTGAAGAAGAGATGCTTCAGCAGAAGGATGAGAGGGAGGAGCTGCATGAAGGTCAAAGGGAAGGAGCAGAGCTTCGAGGTGGAGGAAGCAGTGTGTGCAGGGCCAGAAAGCAGGAAAGCTTGCTGTGCTGGGGAACTGAAAGGCTGGAGGATAGTAGCTGAGGGGAAAGAGCCAGGAGGTGAAGTTGGAGAAATAGGCGGGAGGCCGGATCATGCAGGGTCTCATGGGCCATGGTAAGGAGTTTGGATTTTTCCCAAGACTATTCTAACCTCTAAGTAAAAGACTATTAATAACCCATTTTATAGGTGGGGAAAAAGAAGCTCAGAGGGGTGAAGTAATTTTCCCAGGGTCACACAGCTCGGAGGGTCAGGGTAAGGATTAGCTGAGGAGCCCCTACCCCTCACTGCCGCACAGCCTCTCCGTCAACCCTCTGAGGATCAGCAGGGCTGGGTTCTAGTTCTGCCACACGTGGGGACTCCATTCTCCATCTATGGGCATGACCACCGTGCCATAGCTGCCCCCTCCCTCACAGAGGGCCAACTTTCAGAAAATGCTTTCAGGTTGTAGAGAGTTCACGAGTGCATGGAGACCATCCACACCCAAACTGTACAGACCCCCACATACTCGGAGACTGCCCAGACTGCCCCACAGGCCCCTACTGTGTGTGTGAAATGGCCTCACATACAAGTCAGCCTGCTGCGGCCCCCAGGCTCCTAGCCCAGCAAGGAAGGCAGAATCCTCACAGATGGTCAGAACCTACCCAGCCCCTCTCCCCTTTATGGCCTGCACACCCCACCTGTTCTCCTAAGATCAGGCCAGCTCCATCATTACACTCGGCTGCACCCTCAGTTCATATGACTGTGTGATCAGTGCCTGACTCTCCCCCACCCCCCAGACATGAGCCCCAAGGGCTTGAAGGCCACTGTGCACTGTGCAGTGTTATACTGCCAGGGCTCTGCACAGAGCTTGGCACTTTGTCAGGGCTTAATGTTTATTAAATGAATAAATCCTTTGATGCCCAGATGTCATGTTGGCTTGGCTCCTACTAAGGCAGTGGGTCAGTTATTTCCTCTACTGTACTCCCATCTTCTGTGTGTGCGTGTGTGTGCATCTGTGCGTGTGCATGTGTGTATGTGTGCATGCATGTGTCTATATGTGTCCTTTAGACTGTGAGTGCCCTGAAGATAAACAGCATTTACTGGTCTTGGGGCCCTTCACATTGTAAGGGAATAATCATGTGTGTTGAATGGAGGGGCTGATTGTAATACTTATTTTCTTTCCTGCTAAAGAGCAGGCATGACCCATTCCCCAACCCTTGAGCTGGGATTCTAGGGCTGTAGGTTCTAATCCTCCCTCGGCCACCAGTCTGCATAGTTTCCTTTCTTGGGAATCATAGAGCCACGCTGCCTTGTGTCAGAGCCATGTTCTAACAGGTGAGTGGCACCATTGCTATGGAAACGGACTGGGAGAGGGGAGAGCAAGCAACCGTTACAAGGGTGACATCTCCTCGGGGGCAGGAGCAGCACTTCCATCTCTGTGTGCCCAGGGTCCTTGGGCCAGAGCCGCAACTGGCACTTAGTAAGTATTTTTGGACAAAGGAGGCTGTGGTCACTCTGCCACAATTTCTGTGTGGCAGTAGCTCTTCTGTTGGGCCTCAGTTTCCCCATGTGAGGAGTGAGGAAGGAACATGGATTCGATCTACAGTTCTTAATTTCCTGGGGGGAAGAGTCATGGGTCCTTTTAGGCTCTGAGGGAATCTATGGACCCCCTCCCGGAAGACAGGGGGAGCTGATTTCCTGGGTGTCCAGGGCTCTGGGCAAGCCCCCTAGAGAGCAGAGGATTTCTGAGTGTCTTTCTGGACCTGGCAGCCACTACCCTGTTCTGTAGCATTCTTTAAGCCTCTTCAGGCCTTCAAAATGAAGCATTTTCCCCCAGATTTCTGAAAGTCTTAAAGATTTCCTTTTCCTCCTTCCAGCCTGAGATCAGCTCAGGAAGGTTGGGGGTGGAGCCGAGTCTATTAATATCCCTTCCTCAGCTGATTAACTCTCCATTAATTTGCACTCCGTTTCCATGCAGAGCAGGGAGTGCTGAGCTAATGGGCCCGGGAAGAGGAGAGGGGTGGCGCAGCTCCCTGTGACGTATTATCCGAAGGTGCTGATGGATAAAGTGGGCATGAACGCCCTCTCTTCCCAGGCAGAGCCAGGGCCTCCAGCCCCGCCTGGCTGCTCCTGCGCTGGAACAGCCCGTGGAGAGCAAGGCCTTCTGTTGGTCATTTTGACTTTAGCCACCTGTCGGGTACTTCTTGAGGTCTCTGCTGTCACGTATTCATTTTAGCACAATGCCAGGCACACAGCACATCTTTGACACTCCCTCTGACTTGCTGGGTGACCTTAACAGGTCTCTCTCCTGGACCTTCATTCCCCTTACCCAAGAAAGAATGGTAAATAGGTTTCCTCCTGAGCACTGGCAATTGTTGCCTAGAGGACAGTGTTAAGAAAGATGCTGGCATGGAAGGAGTGAGAGCCGCAGCTGGTTAGTGACATGGGGACTGGTCACTCTGTTGTCTCTGAGGGACCCAGTTCCGGTATTTGCAGTAATTCATAGTATCTGTGGACTGTTTGCTGTTGTCCTTGTGAAAGAGGGAATTCTCATTCTACGTAGTACTGATGACATAATTTCTGAATAATTTCCCTCTGGAATCCATTGTCTGAGACACTGATCTCAGTCTCTCCCTGAAGCCAGAGTTCAGTGTTTGGTTCATTCCTTTTTCCATTTGGTAAGTCCGCCTCTCTGCCACCTGGGCCTCAAGCACTAAGCGAGGCGTGGGAAGAACTCTCTGGAGTGCGTTCATCACTGCTGCCCATCTTGGCCTTCCTAGTAGCCATGGCGGGGAGGCTGCCCAGGGATCATACCTTCCATCTCACAGAAAAAGCAGCAAGGCTTAGAAGAGGGAGAAGGCTAGTCCAAAGTTCCCTTATGGGGGCAGAGCCCCATGTGGTCAGCCCCAAGAGTGGTCACTGAGGCCAGTTCCAAGATCTTAACTCTCCATCCCACAAGACAAACGCTCTGGGAACACAGGGGACTGCGGCCTGAGGGTGGGGGTGGGGAGCCTCAGGTGAAACCTGGTACTTTCTCAGGCCAGAGTCTCTGGACCTGAAATGACCTCTGTCCTCCCACCCTTCACCCCCATCCTTGGCTTGCATCAGGCCCAACCAAAACCTTCTTTTGACCTTTCTTTTATTCTCAGCTCTGTTCCAAAGATTACAAACACATTTGTTCTCTTCTCCCCATGTCCCCACTTCAAATCACTCAGCTGTTGCTCCAGCTACAAGGCCTAGAACAGATTTAGTCCAGCCAAAAGGCCATCATGAGACGTGTATTTCAGATGAATTTCCTGAAGAAAGGATAAACGGCCTAAGCTGGGATGGGAAAGGCATCATGTGACGGAATGTGCCGCCTGCCAGAACAGGCCCAGCTGCCGGGGCATACTGAGGGAGGCGCTCTGGGCCTCGCCTGGAAGCAGAGCACGGGGGCTGGCAGGCTGGGGCTGGTGGGCAGGCTTGGGGTGTACAGCACCGCCCCTCGTCATTACAGACCTCAGACATCAGAGAAGGAAGAGTCTTGCTTCATTGACACATGGCAGGCTCAGTGGGAGTCCCGCCTCTGTCCTTCATTTGCTGTGTCACCCTAGACATCTTACTTCACCTCCACAGGCCTCATTTTCCTCAACTGCAAAACAGACTTGAGAGTAGTACCCCCTCTCGGAGGTGGCTGTGGGGTTTACCTGAGGCAGTGTTTATTTACAGAGTCTTTCTATTCCTCATTGGCTGAAGTCTGTCCCACTCATTGGCCCTAGGTCTTCCCTCTGCCCAGAATCTTCTGTCCTCCACCCTATTCCTGGTGGTGGCTTCTCGTCTGTCAAGCCTAAGGTTAAGAATCAGCTGCCCAAAGCAGCCCTCTTTAATTACCCTAAGTACCCTGTAAATCTTTACCACTTTCTTATTCTCTCTCACAGTTCATTTTATTTTCTCCTCAGTCTTTCTACTCCCTGACACGATCTTGTTTCTTTGTTTAACTCCCCTGGAGAATAAGTTCCATGAGGGCAGGAACTGTGCCAGGCTTGGCATTGCTCTGCCACCAGTCCCCAGAAACACCGGGTGCAGAGTAGTCATTCAGTGTGTGTGTGTTAGGGGTAGGGGGAGGCAGAAGAGGAGGGGGGGGCTGCTACAGCCACAGTCACCACAGGCCCCATCCCCACCCTCACTGCCGCCGCCACCACCGCCACCGCCACTGCTGCCACCACTGTCACTGCCACCACCGCCACCACTGCCACAGCCACCCTCATCGCCCTCACCACTACTGCCATCGCCACTACCACCACCACCACCACCACCACCACCATCATTATCATTGCAGAAATTGTCATACTAGTAACAGTAGTAGTAACAAGTGCCTCTTACATACCAGGCATTGTCTTCTAAGCATCATACCTAGGTCAACTCACTCAGTCCTCAACAATAACCTATGACTAAGGACCCACAGCTGATGAGTGTAATGTCTGGGGCTCAGCCTAAGTCCCTCACCACCTCACTAATGGTCACTCATTCAGTCATGAATAAGGTGAACACGTCCTGGGAGCTCACAGGCTCCTACCACAGAGAAACTGTAGCTGTTTTAGTACTACTTTGGTTGTCATTGTGATGGTCCAGCCCTGAGGCTTCCAGCCTTTATATTGCCTGCCTGGCCCCTGGGTCAGAAGGGCTGGGACCTGCAGTGGGATGCTGCTCCAGTGGCGCACACCAGCTTCCGCGGCCCAGGGCTGCGGCCCAGGGGTTGGGTGTGGAGCTGCTGTCCTTGGTGAACATGACAGGTGTCTCTCAGGTGGACAGCCCTGTGCCCTAGGTCACATGCTGATGAGCCTCAGAGCCAGGACTGGGACTCTAGGGAAAGGCCATTTCCAGTGTCACCTGCTGCCTGCTCGTAAACGTCTGTGATTCTTGGAGTCAATAACACATTTCTAGGGCATCTGCTACCGCAACAAAACTGAGAAGATGTGGTGGGGGAAGGATCTGAGTGAGTTTGGCAGGAGTGTGGTGGTGGTGCGGCTGCATGTACAGAACAGGCTGCCACCGTGAAGATGGCTGAGCCCAGGAACTAACTGTGTCCTCTCTCTGCTCCACCCAGATAATCGACAGTGAGAACGAGGCCCTCCTGGCAGCACTCACCAAGACCCTGGACAACATCACTGAAGATGATGTGGGTCTGGCTGCCTTCCCAGCCCTGGACAGTGGAGATACACCCCCCTGCGCTCCAGCTTCACCTGCCCCTTCATCTGTGTCCCCCAGCCCCACCATGGAAAGGCCCCAGGCCTCCACCCCTGAGGTGGATGAGCTCTCATTGGTGAGAGCCCATTGCCAGCTGGCATGCCAGTGGTGGCCTGGGATGTGGTATCTGGTTGGAGGGGTGGTTGGGTGCCGGGAAGCCAGCTGAAGGGGTTTCTGTGTATCACCGGCAACAGGGCTCCTGGCAGGCAGCCTAGACGGGACGTGGGAGACCTCCCTGGGCCTCACCTTTCCCATGCATTCAGCTGAGCCACAGGGACTTCATCTGCACTCTGTAGGCCCTTTGGGATTCCGTGACCTTAATTGTGTGTTAAACCCTTGACATTACATGCAGACATTTTCCTAAAGATTATACAGACACACACAGTAAAAACTCAAGCAGCAAATCTGGACTGTTAAAAGCAAAACCTCCTTACCCATCTCACAATCATTTTCTTCCTTCCCCAGAGGTAACCATGGTTACTCATCTGTTACGTGACTTTCCTCTTTATTTATTTATTTTTTTTAACTACAAAAGGGAGCCTGCATTATACAACCGCTATGTACTTTGCTTTCCTCAGTGAACTCTGTGTCTTGGAAAGTCTTCCAGAGGACCGTGGGTAGCTCTGTTCCATTCTGTTTCTTGCACAGAGTTCCGTGAAAGGGAGTGCCATAACTTACCGGTGCCCTGGACAGGGAGTATTTATGTTGCTTCAGTTCCCTTATTGTTACCAGTGCTGCAGTCACTGTTCTGGAGCAGGCCTTGCCACATCTAAGTGTGTAAATTCCTAGAAATGGAATTCCTTGGTCCGCAGATACCTGATTTTTTTGGTTTAGACAGATAACTTCCAGATTGCCTCCAAAGAGGTTGAACCGGTTTATATTCTCATCAGCAAAAGTTAAATACTGTCTACGTGAGTGTAAGTGGAATTTGGGAATGTAAATGTGGAATCTCAGCTTTCTGGGGAGAAGGCCTCAGCTTTTATCAGACTCTCAAGTGGGGGGGGCCTCTAAAGTCACTGAAAGCAGCTGTCCTTGACACAGGCTGAGGGTGCCAGAGGCCCAGATCCTTGGGCTGTGAAGTCCAGCTTCCCTCACCTGTCCTGGGCTCCTCGCCTTGGTGCTGCAGCTCCTGGGGTCTGACGAGACTTACCTGGCAGATCAAAGCCTATTGAATCTGGAAGAGATCTTGGGTCATGGAGAGTTTGAGCTAGAAAGGTCCATGGTAGCTGTCAAGAGTAACTCTGGGGAGACCCAGTGTAGAGAGGGACTCTACTGTGGTCACACAGCAAGTTGGTGTGCTGGCAAAGTCTAGAACCCAGGTATTCTGAGTCCTTGCCCAGGACCTCTTTCCTTCTTTCCCACTTCCTTTGAATTTTCCAAAAGCAGTGTGAAATGTTTAGTTAGCACCTACTTTGTGTTCAGTCCCACACTGTGGCCTCTGTTGGTAGGGGCCCTGCTTCCTTTCAGGTGGAATCAGACACCCTGGGTTTGAGGTGCAGTCCCTTCAGTTAATACTTGTGTGTCTCCTGGGCACCTCTCTGACTCAGCTTCCTGGTCTGTAAGATGGGGTTAATAATAGTGCTTATCTCAAAGGCTGTTAGGAGGGGTACAGCAAATAATAGATGTAAGCACTTAGAACAGTGCCTGGCACACAGAGGTTGCTCAATGAATACTATCTAAGTAATGGTCCTGACAGGACGAGTAATAGTAGCAAACGGACTTCTCAGGGCCCTTTCCCCACCACGCTCTTTGAAGGGCCCAGGCCTCAGGGGTGAGAGTGGCCCCTGCTGGCCGTAGGTTTCCCTCCCAAGCCTTAGACCACCGTTTACTCAACACCTTTGTTTCAGGCACTGTGCTAGGCACACAGGAAACACTCACCATCTAGACTCCCAGCATATCGGCAGAGTTCCAGAAAGGCCCTGAGAAGTTATCCAGACACCCAATTCTGAACCTGGAGTCATGGATCCCAGAGAGTCCACCAGTGGGCTGGCGGGGACCCATGGGCCTCTACATATCTGCATTTTTCTGATGTCAGCAGCTTCTATCATACGTATTCTTAGAGGGACTCCTGAGTCCAAAAAGGTTCAGATCCAGTCAGTTAGTCTACCTTCCTGTTAACACTAATGGAGATTCCAAGATCCAAGAAGGACTCACCCAAGGCCTCATGCTGAGTTGGGGCTGAGCTGGGCCAGAGGCGGGCCCCTTTCGTCCAGGCCAAGGATCTTTGCCTGACCACATCAGAGAATCACACACATGTACATGTTGGCTTGGGATGTAGGTGGGGTGGTGGGGATCCTCCAATGCCTAGGAGAGTGTGGAGTGGCTTTTTCTCTCATCCTTGGGCCTTTGTCACTCCTTGCTGGGGTGACCTCAGGGCTAGAGGATGCTTCCTGATTCATTCTTAACATTGGCTGTGACAGGATCCCTGGTGGAACTCCGAGGCGCCCTCAGCTCCCTGCTGTCTCAGCTGGGATATACTGTGCCCCCTGACCTCTGTGTGCAGAAGTGTGAGAGTCTCAGCAGTTCTTACAGCAGGATTGGAGAAGCCAAAGAAGCTTCAGGGTGGTGTGCTCCCACCTGTGTAGAAGCCACAGGTGGCCAGAGGCGAGGTGTGCGTGTATATCATGTGGCTGAGCCCACCTTATCAGAGGGTCGCAGGACCATGGGAGATAGCAGCTGCCTCGGAGGGGAGGATGGGGTTCTTGGGCAGCACAGAGAGGATTGCTTCTGATTGTCCACCTGTTAGTATGTGTGGGATGTATTTGTTTTTACCATTTATAAGTATTACTTTTTTAAGGTAAGAAATTAATTTTTTAAAAAACAGTATGAATAAGCACAAAGAATGAAAGGGAAATCAGCTGGAATCCCACACCAGAGAATCGGTGTGGCACCTAACTTCCCAGGCCATGCATGTGTGTTACAGGTAGATGCCAAGTGTCCCACTGATGTACAAACAACATATTTTAACATAGACTGGGCAGGCATTACCTAAGATCTGTTTGGCTTTCTCAAAATCACAGATACTTTTCTTGGGTTATGAATTCTGAAAAGGATTTACATTTTATTAGGCTTGTGTGTGTTTAGGATCATTAGAAAATCTGCCCTGCTAACTTCCTATATCAGGGACAGTCTAGGTCATTAACTGCCCTCCCTTGTTCTTCCCCTGCCCCTGTGATGGCCTGGGGGCAGGGCTGGTCAGTCCCAAGGGCTAGCTGTGGGCTCTGGCCCATCCCCCAGACCTGCTTTTCCATGGCCTCCAGCTGTGGCTCAGCCCCACTTCTCTGCTTCTCCCGCAGCTGCAGAAGCTCCTCCTCACCACATCCTACCCAACTTCAAGTCCCAATGCCCAGAAGGAACGGACCGCCTGGCGCCAGGCCAGCCTCAGGCCCAAAAGTCAACGACCTTGTGTCAAGGTATTTCTGTACATGCCCCAAAAGCCACCCAGTCCCACAGCTCCCCTTGGGGCATTGTAGCCTTCAGCTCCTGTCAGAGTGCTTTTGTTCAGTCCCTTCCAGTGTCCCTCCTTGCCCCTCACACAGCCGATGGAGCTGGAGTGCTGGGTACTACTTGAGACCCAGGCCGGTTTGGGGTTCTAGCAAGGAGTCTGGATTCCTTTCGTGGGGAGGCACTGGAGAGCTGAAAGCTCTGTCATGAGCATCCAGGTGAGAAGCAAGTGCCCACCCGGGCCCCACCTTCTGAGACTTCCAAGGAGGGCTTTCATAGTGATTTCTCAATGTCCCTGTCACTCACAGCCGGTACCCAAAGCCTTCCCCTCTTGTCTCCGGGCACCTGCACGAGACTGTTGCACACAATCCACCCTCAGGGCAGAGGCAGGGTAAGGCCTCTCTCAGACCCCAGCTCGGTGTGGAAGCCTCTCTGCCAGGGCTCCCCTCAGGGGTGGAGCCCCGTCCATGTGTGGCCACCCCCGTGACCCGTCCCCACTTGTCCTGCCATCCTCCCCAGCAAAGGGCTGTCCAGCCCTCAGGTTCCATTCTGTGGAGGGGGCAGCAGCCAAGCTCCTTTATGAGCCAGCTCTGCATCTCCTGGGAGGGTAGGGAGCACCCAGAGAACTGAGACCCCTCTGTCCGCCGTCCTGGCCCCAGCAGAGGCAGGTGCCCTGGGAGGAAAGCCCCTGTGTGGACAAGTGGGGGTGAGTGTGATGCGAGAGAGTTGGCTGAGGCCAGATTGCAGAGGTCCCAAAATATGTAATAAATACATAAAAAATACCTGTCCAAGGGTCTCCCCTTCATCTGGTGGGCACTGGGAAGCTCCTGAATTTCTCTCTCTTTTTTTTTTTAAACAAATATATGGAGGTGCCACTTAACATATCACAAAGGTACCTGTTTTAAAAGTACAATTCAGTCATTTTTAGTAAGTTTAAAGAGTCATGCAGCCATGACCACAGTCCAATTTTAGAACATTTCTGTCATCCCAGAAAGACCGCTATTGCCCCCATTCACAGCTGGTCCCTGTTCCTGTGCCCAGCACCAGGCCACCACTCATGTACTTCCTGACACAGTGACTGAGGCCTGCAGTGCAGGGGGAGCAGGACAGTCAGAACGGGCCACTGGCAGTCAGCCTGCAAGGGGCGAAATCCGTGTCAGGAGGCCTGCTAGAAGGCTGGCCACCCCTTCATTTCTCATTGCTTGAGCACTGCCAGCGGCCAGGCTTGGTGCTGGAAGCTGGGGATAAAGTGGGTGAAACCTGGCCATTCTGATGATCAGGTGACACACTGGGCCCAGCCAGTGGCTGCAGGGGTGGGTCAGAGGGAAGGAGCACCGTGGGCCTCCGTCCTCACTGCGGCCTCTTTCCCTCTCTAGATGGACAGCACCCAAGACAAGAGGCCCCCCACAACGCAGTCTCAGAGCCGGAGTTGTACAGAACTGCATAAGCATCTCACCTCAGTGCCGTCCTGCCCCCTGGCTAAAGCCCGCTCCCCAGATAGGGGCCTGCAGCCGCCACCACCCCTGAGTCCCCAGCTCCCTGCTAGGGGGCATGGGGGGCCTGGTGAGGACTGTCTGAGCCCCCAGCCAGCTCTGGCCCTTCCTCAGGGCTCCCCAGTACTGAGCAGGGCAGTTCCCAGCACCCAGGTTTCCCAGGAGGACATGCAGGCGATGGTGCAGCTTATTAGCTACATGCACACCTACTGCCTCCCCCAAAGGAAGCTGCCCCCACAGGCCCCGGAGCCAGCCTCCCAGCCCTGCGGCAGCCCCTCAAAGCAGGTCAAACCCCAGCCCCAGTCCCGGCACCCTTCCAAAGCTGCCTGGGCTGAGTTCTCCATCCTGAGGGAACTTCTGGCACAAGATGTCCTCTGTGATGTCAGCAAACCCTACCGTCTGGCCACACCTGTCTATGCCTCCCTCACACCCCGGCCCAGACCCAGGCCCCCAAAGGACAGCCAGGCCTCCCCTGGCCACCCATCCCCTGCAGTGGAGGTGAGGATTGCAGCTTCGCCCAAGAGTACCGGGCCCAGACCCAGCCTGCGTCCACTACGGCTGCAGGTGAAAGGGCACGACAGCCGGTCGGCCAGGCGGCAGCAGGACAATGATGAGGAGGAAGAAGAGGAGGAGGAGGAGGAGGAGTGGGGCTGGAAAAGACCAGGCAAAGGCCTGCCATGCACCAAGCTAACGAGGAAGCTGGAGAGTTCGGTGTGCCCTGTGCGGCGGTCCAGGAGACTGAACCCCGAGCTGGGCCCTTGGCTGACGTTCACCGACGAGTCGCTGATCCCTGTGGAGACCCAGAAAGCTCTGCCCTCACTGCGCCTTGCTTCTGAGGCCTACAGCATGGCGGGGGAGCTGGGCAGCCCCAGGGACGAGGACAGCGGCCAAGACCAGCAGCTCCTCCGGGGACCCCAGATCTCGGCTCTGGAGAGCCCCTGTGAGAGTGGGTGTGGGGACACAGATGAGGACCCCAGCTGTCCACAGCTCCCTTCTGGAGGTAGTAGGAGTTGGTGGTCTGCAGGAGAGGGGGCAGGGGTGGGGTGTGGCGCACCGCAGTGCATGGGGAGCCCAGAGCCTCGTGTTGGGCACGTCCCTTCCACTCTGGCTCTCCGCTTCCCTTTTTGTACAGTGGGCTGGTTGAGTGGATCTCCAGGAATCACCCATGCATCTCTTGAGTCTGTCATCACATGGGCCAGGTGCCACTTAATGAACAAGGAGCAAGATCCCTGCCTTCATGGGGCTTGTATTTCAGTGGGGGAGACAGGCAATCAAAAAGCAAATAAAAACGGAAGGTAATTTCAAATCATGATAACTGCTCTAAAGAAGACTTCCTGGGTGATGAAGTGACAAGGTGGGAGTCTATAAATTCAGTTCAACAAAAGCTGAGTTGTAAATGGTAACAGCAGTGAGAATAACAAGTTATCTGTATGGTGTATCCCTGTGCCCAGCACTGGTCTAAGACTTAACACAAATTATCCGCATTGATTCCTCTCAAGACGTCTGTTATAATCTCCCTTTAAGACACAAGTGGAAGCACAGAGGAATCTAGGGGTCATTCTGCTTGTTAGTCCTGAACCGCTCTGGCAAGACCCCACTGCCGCCGGCCTTGGGAGCTGCTTCCCCATGGCGCTGCCCTGCTGGGTCAGGAGGGGTCGCTCTGGTGCCCATGTGCTGCTCCTGCCAAACTGAGTAGCTCTGGCAGCCCTTCAACGCCCTGGGACTGAACCTGGCTTTGAGTTGTTCCTGCCTTGAAAAGGGCAGAGGCTTTTGGGTCCCATTCCTGAAAGGAGATGTGCTTGGTACCAGTGAAGTTTGGGGTCTCCTCTGGAAGGAAACATGGTGTGATGCTATGTTGGGACATCTTATTTTTTTCTTTTTTGTCTTTTTTTCAGACTCTCCCAGGTCCCTCATGCTGGCCTTGTCACAAAGGTAAATTTTTGGAAATTACTACTTCATGAGACTGTCCTGTTGGTGTGTATGCTGGAGGCTACACAGGACCCCTGAGCTTGGCCCTGTCCCCACAACCTTGTCCTCATTGACATGTGGGGCCCTGGGGCTTCAGACCTTCCTCCCCTGCTGGGCCTCAAGCGCTGCATGTGAACATGGAGGGGGGGGGTGATACTTGTTCTGTCTCCACACCCAGCTGATCTCTCCTGGTTTCCTAAAGGAGCTATGCAGTTCTGCATTCCTCTAATCCAGGACGGGGGATCCCTGGCAAATTTTCCCCAGGCCACACTTCTGTGGGCCGCAAAGCCAGGGTCTGTCACAGTGCCCCGTTGCCATCCCTGTGTGCCCAGGGAGGTGGAGCTGCTGCTAACTGGCCTTTCTGTCCCTACCCCCACCAGTGACCCTTCTTTTGGCAAGAAGAGCTTTGAGCAGACCTTGGCTGTGGAGCTCTGTGGCACAGCAGGTGAGCCAGATGTGGTGGGCTGCCCTTTGGGGAGCTGGCATGACCCCCAGCAACAAGTCTCCCACACTGAGCAGCCCCTCCCTGCCATGGCTACACAGGCTGCCCAGGATACGGAGGTACACAGTGAGGGCGCCATCAGGAGGAGCATCAGGGCCTGAGCAGAGCCATTCAGCTGCCAGCTATAGCACATGAGCTGTGGGCAGGGTTAGAAAAGTAGACATTTGTCTTTCCCGGTAGGAGCCCACAGTCTTGTGTGGGAGACAGTCACACCATGACATATACTGTTCCATATGCACTAGTTCCCAAGTGTGTGCAAAAGCTCTGGGGGCAAAGGAAGGGGTCAGGTAGGCAAGGGCAGGGCCCACAGGAGTGGGGCCTTGGAAGATTTGTAGGGCATCTGGAACAGGGAGCACCAGCTGTGCTTGCATGGTGACTAGGTGTTGGACAAAGAAGGGAGGCACATCCTGGCAGCAGATTCAGCAGAGCAAAGGTACAGGGGAGAGCACACAGAGCATCTGAGGGTTGTGGCCACCTGGCATTGCTACATGCAGAACTAGGGGGTCAGGAAGGAGCTTCACCAAAGGCCACAAGGAATGCCAGGTTGAGGGGTTTGATCTTGATCCTGTAGGCGTCAGGAGCCCCCAAAAGGAAGAGATCTCAGGCACCTAGGTTCCCTCCAGTGCACTGGGGAGGGCGGAGGCCAGGGTCAGATGCAGGGGCACTGTGCATGTCAGACCCAGGTGGGAGGTGTTACTCCTGGGGCCTGCCCCCTCTCCATCTCAGGAGACAGTAGAGGTGATCGGGAGGAATACCTGGGAGGGCTTGATGAATGATGGCATATAGAGTAGGAAGAGATAGTGTAGATGACTTGGTGGCTTCAGCTGCCACTGCCAGGCTTCAGAAAGGATGGCAAGTGGATTTCATTACATGCCTGTGTGAGTCTGTGTGAGGAGTCCTGGGCCCCATCCAGACTCAGCCAGCAGTGCAGTGATTGATTAGTGATGCCTGCATTCCACTGGGTTAGGGAGACAGTGGTACTTGTGCTAATTCTTTGCCAAACCAAACTAGGGTCTCAGTGCCATTCGGAGAAATGATCTGTCTCCGCCTCGTGTTTCTCCTCTTGCTTGGGTAGGACTCACTCCACCCACCACGCCTCCATACAAGCCTACAGAGGAGGACCCCTTCAAGCCAGACATCAAGCACAGCCTGGGCAAAGACCTGACTCCCAGCCGCCCCACCCTGGAGGTCCTCCAGCTTGAGGCTGCCACAGGGTCTGCCCACAAGCTGCCTAAGAAGCACCCAGAGCGGAGTGAGCTCCTGTCCCGCCTGCGGCATGTCACAGCCCAGCCAGCCTCCCAGGCTGGTCAGAAGCGCCCCTTCTCCTGTTCCTTTGGAGACCACGACTACTGCCAGGTGCTCAAGCCAGAGGGTGCCCTGCAGAGGAAGGTGCTGAGGTCCTGGCAGCTGTCTGGGGTCCACCTGGAGCACTGGCCCCAGCAAGGTGCCCCACGGGCTGTGGCACTGGCCTCTGGCAGGGAGGAAGACAGAAGCTGTGGCACCAGGACCTCCCCCAAGGACAGTCCGCTGCTGAGAGACCATGAGATCCGCGCCAGCCTCACCAAGCACTTTGGGCTCCTGGAGGCCACTCTGGGGGACGAGGACCTGGTCTCCTGCAGGAGCCCCGAATACGACACCGTCTTTGAGGACAGCAGCAGTGGTGAGAGCAGCTTCCTCCTGGAAGAGGAGGAGGGGGAGGGGGACGACGAGGATGATGAGGACTCGGGGCTCAGCCCCCCTCGCTCCGACCGCTGCCCCTACCAGAGCCCGCCCAGCAAAGCCAGGTGGCAGCTCTGTTCCCGCAGCCGCTCCAGCTCTGGCTCCTCCTCCTGCCGCTCCTGGTCACCAGCCACCAGAAGGACCTCCAGGTATGGATGCATAGCCTCAGGAGGAATGGGGGGCAGCCGTGGGACCCCAGTTCAGAGGTGTCAGAGGAGAGAGGAGCCCTCTGGTTGGGGCATGTTTCCCAATGAGGCCCTTGTCCTGCTCAGAGGCCTGGAAGGGGCCTCCTCAGGCACAGCTGTGGGCAAATCGTGGAGGCGAGTAGGCCTGCTGTGCGAGTCATGAGTGTCCCGAATCTGTTGAATTTAGGAGGGGAATGAAACCCACCCCAGCCCATTTGTGGCCTCATGTCTGAATGACCTGCCCATCCTTATCTGTGTGTTTGGCTTTCATATTTGTGAAATAGGTAGGTTTGGGTAAACATACACATACCCATACAGTTTAATATCTATGTGACATTTACATGTAAAAGGATTGGCATAATTCTCATCTTTGTTCTAAAAAATACCTGGATTTAAAGCAGGGATTCCCATTTAAAGTTTATTTCTATTTCTTGGACCTGCTGAGCAGCACAGGGGCTTCCTGCACTCAGACGCCCCCTGGGAGCTCCTTTACTTTCCCTGGGAGATGATGCTTCCTGAGCCAGTTTGTGCATACCCTCTTGGCTCACTGAACTAGACTGCAGAGGTCCACAGGTCAGCAAGGAGCTGGGCAGAAAATGTGGAGGTTTGGCGAATGTCAGTGGAGACAGGTTGCTTCTCTCCCTGATGGCAGCAGGACCCGACTCTGCGGAGGCCTGAGGGACTGGTGCCAGTCCCAAACCCTCTGCCTGTGATGCACCTGAGTGTACACTAGATGGTGCTCTGGGGTCTAGAGCGCTGTAGCCCAGTCATCTAGAGAGAGGGCTTGTTACTGCCCAGATGACGGCCTCACGTCTGTCTCTGCATTCTGGGCTGGTGGGGGGAATTTGTATTTCTAACAAGTTCTGAGGTGGTGGTCATGTTCCCAGAGTAGCATCCACTGAAGACCAGAATTCAGAAAACAGATACTTTTTTTAAGGAAAATTCAGCTTTGTATTCACTATCTGCACTATCCAACCATTTGAGAATCTGATTAAAACAAAGGCTCTCCTTCCTATTAAGATGTGCATGGACTTCTCACTGGGCATTCGGCTTTAGGGGTTTGTGGACTTCCCAGACACTAATGTTAAGAAGCCCCGAGTTATGTGTTACCCCAAGTGAGTTCCCCAGCAGTTACTCTGACGCCCTTCTGTGTACTGACCTGGAAGATGAAAGCCGCCTTCTGCCAGACCTCTCGGAGCCCTTTTCCCACAGGGGTCGCTGTAAGCTAAGTGACTAGCATCCACCTGAGGCACTTTGCTGTTTGCTCAGAAGCTACTAAATTCTCTTCCTGTTGAAACTTGTTGTCCCCCAAGGCCAGAGCTGGAGTTTCTGACCTCAATCACCCCCCAGACCTGCTCAGGGGACTGGGGTAGGGCCTCTTGTCATGGACTTGGTGTGCAAAGAGTTGAGAGCTTCTCTAGAAGCTCCCGTGGATTCTCCTTCTCTACTTCTTACTTTCGGGCCAAGTTCAGGGCTGGCATTTTTTGCTCACTGGAGGCAGTTAATTAGTTAACTCAGTTCCTGCTCAGCTGCCTTGCCTGGCAGAACTCAGTGCCTGGCAAACTAGTTATCAGCCTTCCCCAGACCCACAGGTACCTGTACTTCCACTAAACACCAGTCAGCAGGAAGCCTTCTGCGCTGGTTTAACCACACATCCCAAATGCCACAGTGCTGTCCAGTCACCCTCAGCACTTCAGGCGGGAAAAGGCCAATGCTACTGCAAATGGGTGATGATACTATTATCGTATAGCACTTTGAAGTTTGCAAGTCACAGCCCTTTCTGTTACCCTGTTTGAACTTCACAGATGTGCTTGGAGAGTGCACCTGTTTCTTGTCCCCATTTTATAGATGAAGAAGCTGAGGCTCAATGAGGTTTAGGAGAAGAATGTAGGAAGCAGTCGTTGAGAATGCCAGGGCTAAACTGAGGGGACGCATACAATAGATTCTCCCTAATTTACAAATGAAGAACTGAAGCTGAGAGGGCTTAAGTAAATGGGTCCAAGGTCACCCAGCAGGGACATGATAGAGCCAAGATTCAAAGGCAGGTGCTCTTCCCCTCCTGGCTCTTATTTCCCAAGGATGCGGAGGGGAAGTAACAGAGCGGGGCTCACCTCACACATGCTCTGTGTGCTCCAGCAGGCCGGCCCTTGGGAGGAGAGGGTGGCGTGCAGACAGGCAGGAAGGCACAGGTATACAGCCCCAGGGGCCACCTCGCTTTGCATGTGGGCTGTGATGGCAGGAGTTGCTTCTGGGCCAGGCACCAGCCACTAGAGTGCCATGGGTCTAGGATCAGCAGACCTCTTTGTAACTCTGATTTACCCCCTGTCTAGCTTTAGGCAAATCCCATATTGAACCTGAGCCTCAGGGTTTTCATCTGGAAAATGGGGAAACTTAATAGGTTTTTTCCTCTTTCTTCATCAGATCAAATACGATTATGAAGAGAAATGGCCTTTTTGCCCCTAAAAATGGCATAGGAAAGCAGGGTTCAGAATGGTTAAATGAGTGACATGGTGTACTTCCTGGGCTAATGCCAGGAGCTGGCAGCAGGCATGTGTCCAAGTTCTCAGACCCACACAGCGCTGGGCCATCACTGGGCTTCTGCCAGAGGGAGTCACAACAGCTCCGCCCTCATGAACAAGTCCTGGAGAAGTGCCCTCTGCCTCCTGGAGCAGCTCTGCCTATCTGCCCCACTGTGGTCCCTCCCCAGAGTGACTGCCTCTGCTTTGCTTGTTCACTGACAGATGTGAGAGCAGAGGGCCATGTTCAGATGGAACACCAAGCGTCTGGCGCGCCAGGAAGCGGCGGGAAAAGGCCATTGTAAGTGATCTGGGGCCCCAGAGCCCAGAGTGAATGGGGACAAGCAGGGATATCAGCAAGGGCTGGGGCTTTGTAGACCTGAAAACCTTGGTGGCTGGCTGTGGCCTGAAGAAGATAATAACATTTTTCTCACTTCCAAAACCACAAGAGTTACCAAGGGCATCAAAGGTGGCATCGTGCAAAGTGCAGCCAGTGCCTGGCTGTGAGGCATGCAGTTTGTGGGTATTAGGGCTCAGCATCAGGCTCAGCAGGGCCAAGAGGGCAGGCTGTGGTAGGAGGGAGCAGAGAGGGCCACCTGAGCCATGGACCAGTCCTGCCACCACCTTCTGTGTGACCTCTGGCAGGCCCCCCAGCCTCCCTGAGCCTCTGCTTACTCATCTGTACTTAGAGAATTAGGCCTTGGGTTTCCTAAGGGTCCTCCAGCTTGACCAGGGCTAAGGGCCGAAAGAGTCCCCACAGGGAAGTAACAGAGCGGGGCTCACCTCACACATGCTCTGTGTGCTCCAGCAGGCCGGCCCTTGGGAGGAGAGGGTGGCGTGCAGACAGGCAGGAAGGCACAGGTATACAGCCCCAGGGGCCACCTCGCTTTGCATGTGGGCTGTGATGGCAGGAGTTGCTTCTGGGCCAGGCACCAGCCACTAGAGTGCCATGGGTCTAGGATCAGCAGACCTCTTTGTAACTCTGATTTACCCCCTGTCTAGCTTTAGGCAAATCCCATATTGAACCTGAGCCTCAGGGTTTTCATCTGGAAAATGGGGAAACTTAATAGGTTTTTTCCTCTTTCTTCATCAGATCAAATACGATTATGAAGAGAAATGGCCTTTTTGCCCCTAAAAATGGCATAGGAAAGCAGGGTTCAGAATGGTTAAATGAGTGACATGGTGTACTTCCTGGGCTAATGCCAGGAGCTGGCAGCAGGCATGTGTCCAAGTTCTCAGACCCACACAGCGCTGGGCCATCACTGGGCTTCTGCCAGAGGGAGTCACAACAGCTCCGCCCTCATGAACAAGTCCTGGAGAAGTGCCCTCTGCCTCCTGGAGCAGCTCTGCCTATCTGCCCCACTGTGGTCCCTCCCCAGAGTGACTGCCTCTGCTTTGCTTGTTCACTGACAGATGTGAGAGCAGAGGGCCATGTTCAGATGGAACACCAAGCGTCTGGCGCGCCAGGAAGCGGCGGGAAAAGGCCATTGTAAGTGATCTGGGGCCCCAGAGCCCAGAGTGAATGGGGACAAGCAGGGATATCAGCAAGGGCTGGGGCTTTGTAGACCTGAAAACCTTGGTGGCTGGCTGTGGCCTGAAGAAGATAATAACATTTTTCTCACTTCCAAAACCACAACAGTTACCAAGGGCATCAAAGGTGGCATCGTGCAAAGTGCAGCCAGTGCCTGGCTGTGAGGCATGCAGTTTGTGGGTATTAGGGCTCAGCATCAGGCTCAGCAGGGCCAAGAGGGCAGGCTGTGGTAGGAGGGAGCAGAGAGGGCCACCTGAGCCATGGACCAGTCCTGCCACCACCTTCTGTGTGACCTCTGGCAGGCCCCCCAGCCTCCCTGAGCCTCTGCTTACTCATCTGTACTTAGAGAATTAGGCCTTGGGTTTCCTAAGGGTCCTCCAGCTTGACCAGGGCTAAGGGCCGAAAGAGTCCCCACTTACTCCCTAAGCTTTCCCCCGTCAGTGCACAGGCTACGCCTGCTGAACTCACTGCAGAATGCCCCCTCGGGAAGCTGCCCCGGGAGCTGGAGCCAGCCTCTCCTCATCGCTAGAAAGGAGGGAAGAGAAAGACAAAAGCACAAAAAAGCTCACTTGATTGCTCTCGCCCATGACGTGCTTTAAGGGCAGAGGCAGGGGGCACGTGAGGCTATGCACCCCAGAGGCGTACAGCTGTCTGTGAGCAGGCACTTAGAACCACGGGCTGTGTGTGGAGCATCTTCTTGGAGTCCATATGTTGACCGTAAAGTTGTGACATGCCTGGCACTGTTCTAGACCCTGGATGACAGCAAGGACAGGACACACGAGGTCCCCATGTGTTGGGACACAACTACACCCGTGGTCGGGACAGAAGGGAGAGAAGGACAACAGACTCATAAACAAGAAATAAAAACAGTAATTACAGATTAGGAGAAGTGTGGTGAAATTAATTTCATGACTGAAATCTCTGAAACCATCAGGTGACCAGTTAGGAGGATGTATTTACTAAGTGGCGGTCTGGGAGGGGCGTCTGCAAGAAACTGGGTCCGCCTTCGGATTCAGAGCTTCAGGGAGGCTGGGGGAGGGGATTTCTGCATGGAGCTGACCCTGGAGTATCCTGGTGGGAGGGTGCACAGCTCCTGCCAGCCCTGCTGTGGACCCAGGGCCTGTGCTTTCCTGTCTGCCCTCTGAGGTCTAAGAATGGGACGGCTTCAGAATCACTGGCCTTAATCTGTTCCCAGAGAAAACCTGTCCAAACCAGAAGCTGTCAGTTCTGACCACGGGACCACAGGTTTCCAAGAACAGGGCTAGAGTTTCTCCAGCAGATCAAAGAACTCTTCCAGTAGAGTGGCTTTAATTGGATCCAATCACAACCTAGAGGAGAAGAGGGGCAGTCTGGCCTGGCTATCTCCCCACCCCCACCCTGCTGGGTTGTTCCAGGGGCCTGTGGCCATGGCACTGAGCCCACCTGACATGACCTATTGGTCACAGTGTCTGCACACTGCCCTGGCAAAACCAGAGGTGATGGCAGTGCCAAGCCCTGTGTCCTCTGCCCCACTGCTTTGTTCCCAGCCCATTCTAACCCCCACAGCAACCTGGCTCCCAATGCTTGACTATTACCAACCTTATCAACTAGCTTGTCCTCCCCAAGACCTTCCCCACTACCAAAAACAGGCTTCAGACTCAGAACACAAGTACAGAAGCTACTGAGTATGCAGTTAATTCATGGTGATGAACTCTTCTCCTTTCTCTGCCCATTTCTCTCAAGTAAGCAGTTGCTTCTTTGGTGGCTGCTTCCCATCCGATACTCAGTGGCCCCCCTCCTCCTCTAAGGCAGGTCCTCTGGAATAGTGACATCATTGTCCTCTCTGACTCTGACCCCAGTTGGTATCACTTGCTCAGCCAGGCAATGACTGGGTCCTTCTGTGTACTCCCTTGAGCAGGGCGAAGGCCGTGTGGTGTACGTTCAAAATCTATCCAGCGACATGAGCTCCCGTGAGCTGAAGAGGTGCTTCGAAGTGTTTGGTGAGATTGTAGAGTGCCAGGTGCTGACAAGAAATAAGAGGTGAGTTTAGTCAAACTATTACAGAGGAGGGGAGTGAGAAAGGACAGAGGTCCCAGTCCAGGGCTGGCCACGCTGAAGAACCCCAAGCAGATTTGCAGAACAAATTTGTCAAAATTCATAGCCTGGACAAGGAGAGCCCGGTCCAGAAGTACCGGTAATGACTGCACAGCTCCAGTACAGCAGCAAATGTATCCTGGTGGTTCGCTAAGGGCCAGGCAATTTCCATGCATCTTGTAAACTTGGCCTGTGATATATGCACCCATTCTTCCTATTGCTTCCTTTTCAAGGAGCTTAGATGAGTTACCTGGACAGCTAGTTAGTGGCAGAGCCAGATCTGCAGCTCACACATCTGCCTGACGTTCTGTGCCCTGGAGCTGGTGCGGGGCAGCAAACAGCCCCTGGGGCCTAAAGGCACGTTTGCGCTGGGACCTCACTGCACTGCACCTGTGCAGTGGGACTGCAGCACCTGTCACCCGGTCTTGCTCTTCTGTTCTGCTGGGCGGCCTGGTTTTACCTCACCCACCTAAGGAAGCAGTGTTTCATCTGTCAGGGTATCTGCAAGAATAGGTTGCATATAAATGTATAACTTGGATGTCAAAACTTCTGTCAGTTTTGAAATAATTCTAAAGTATCTTCCATTATACTTGCAAACTGAGTTATTAAGGCTTTAAAATTCTAATTTAATAATAATTTTTAAAAGCTTTAGTGAAAAATAGTTTCGGCATAGGAGTCATTACATATCTCACATCCATTAGGATGGTTATAGAAAATTACAAGTGTTGGTAAAAATCTGGAGATTTGGAACCCTTGCACACCACTGGTGGATTTATAAAATGGTGAAGCCACTATGGAAAATGGTATGGAAGTTCTTTAAAAAACTAAATACAGAATTACTGTATGATCCAGGAATCCCACTCCTGGGTTTATACTCAAAAGAATTGAAAACAAGATCTCAAGAGAGATATTTGTACACCCCTGTTCATAGCAGCATTATTCCTAATAGCCAGGTGCCCACTGATACATGAATAGTTCAACAAAATATAGTATAGACGTACAATGGAAATACTTGTCAAACTTACAAAGATAGGAAAATCCTGTTATGTGCTACAAGCATGGATGAACTTGAGGACATTATGCGAAGTGAAGTCAGCCAGTCACAGAAAGGTGACTACGATACGATTCCACGTACATGAGGCATCTAATCAAGTCTGTGGACACAGCAAGGAGAGAAAGTAGAGATCTGTTGCATGACAGTGTGAAATACTGAATACTATTGAACTGTACACTTAAAAGAGCAAAAATGATAATTTTGTTACATTATTTTACCATGATTTTTAAAGAGTTATTGTACAAAACTTTTTGGTTCTATGTGGTCTTGATATCAAGTGAATATAACATGCAAAAATCAAGCAAGCAGTCTCAGACATTTGAAGAGGCAGAAGGGGTCTAACTTCAACTTTGTTCAGAGAGTTGTCAGGAAATAGGATTCACTTAAGTGTGTGTTAATCACCTATGGTTGGTAAACCTGTCCTAGCCGAGAGCGGCTCCTCGTCATCTCCTTCCCTGGGGGGTCTAGCTAGCAGACGAAGTCACCAGTCCGGACTGTTTTCTTTCTGTGGAGCTGAGGGGTCGGATAGGACTGACCAGGCCCCTCTCGCCCTGCATCCCTCTTGGGCAAGCTTCCCTCGGGCGGCCACGTGGCCTCCCCCAGCTCTCAGCTCCCCTCCCAGCAGGGGAAGCAGGAGGCACCCTCACGCTTCCAGCAAAGACCTGCGGTGTATTTCAGCGGAATCTTTCCTCTCTGGGTGGATAGGCTCTTCCTTGAGCAAGTCACTGTGGCCAGCGGGGGGCACCGTCATGTGACTGACTGCCGCGCCTGAGCCCTGCCGAGCCCGCCGCGCTGTTGTCTGGCCACAAGGAGCGGAGGCCGGGCAGGCAGATGTGCAGGTGTGCACCGCGCAGGAGGAGGTGCACGCCGACGCCGGCAATGCCAAGGGGGTTTGCAAGCCGGGCTGGCCCCGGAAGTGGTGGCCGAGGCCGGCCTTGGAGGAGGAGGGCACCGGCGCGGCAAACCCGAGGAGAGGGGGCTCATGCGGGGAATGCAGCGGCTTTCGTGGCTGGAGGTCTTTGGGCAAATCCTGAACCCCAGAGAGCCGGCCACCTCGTGCCTAAGGAGAGCACAACAGTGCCACCCGCCCCGGCGGCCGGCCCCCGGGCAGACCCAGTGAACCGCCAGCGCTTCCCCCCCCCCCCCCGCGGGGTCAGCCCAGCGCTTGCCGTCGTCCCACCTGGGGGGTCATCCCGCACCAGCTGGCCCGGTAGCATCTCCCCTGTCCTCTCCCCGCAGGGGCGAGAAGTGCGGCGTCGTCACCTACCGCTGTACCGAGCACGCCGCCCTGTCCCTGCGGAGCGGTGCCGCCGCGCGGACGCTGAGCTCCGGGGGACTCGGGCCCCGCCGCTGGCCCAGGCACGCTGACTACGGTAAGTCCCCAAGGCCCCGCCGCATCCAGTGAGGCCCCAGCCCCACAGCGCCCCCTGGACACAGGCCCCACACCCAGGCCCCAGCACGCTGAAGGCAGGACTTTGCAGCCGCCTCGCCTGGAGGCACCACCTTGTTCTCTTCTGGCCCATCTTGTCCCGTCCCAGGACCTGTACCAAAGAGAGAGACTGAAGCCTCCCCTGCCCCTTGGAAGGTCCAGTCTTGTGTCCACAGCCAGCTGCCAGAACCACGACTACTGTCTCTGTCCCCACGGGGCCAATGGCTGCCGTGCCTCCTTGAGGGGCATTCCATGGTGGCCCCAGCAGGCTGCAGCCTTGCCCACTGATGGGCCACAGTGAATATTGTCCATACTGTCATCATGCCCTCACCATTAGGGGACAAGCTGGTGAAGACAAAGGACAAAGAAGTACAAGTTAGGAGAGAACTATTTGCAGGTGAGAGTCGATACAGCCTTGTAGTTCAGCGCGGAGTGTCAGGAGGCGCAGGAGGGTTCCCGGCAGCCCTCCACCTACCTGCATGGCCGCTTCAGCATCCCCACAGTGAGGGCCTCCTAGTGTTCTGGCCACTTGACGTGACTTCACAACAGTTTACTAAAGGGCAAGGAGCTGTTAGGGCAGGTAGGGTGCCAGCTGGAGAGGAGCTCTGAGGCGCTCTAGGTCAGGCCCCACCACTCTGCAGACAGGGCAGCCGGGGCCCCAAGACACTGACGACACGGCAGGGGTCCCCGCAGAGTGGCAGGGGCGACGCTTGCTGTCCAGCGCTCTGAGGCCTTGGGCCGCATCTGCTCCGAGGGGCCGACCCTGGTGGCAGGTGTTCCAGGCACTGGCCTTTGTCACTTGCTCACCTCCTTCCCCTCTCCTTGACTCCCCAACCCCACTGCCCAGAGGCCAGTGCAGAAGAGGCCCTGCCTGCAGCATTGAAAAACAAGTACGAAGCCATGGATTTTGACAGCTTGCTGAAGGAGGCCCAGCAGAGCCTGCACTGATAACAGCCTTAACCTTCGAGGAATACCTCAATACCTCAGACAAGGCCCTTCCAATATGTTTACGTTTTCAAAGAAATTAAGTCTATAGAAGGAGAGAGAGCGAGCGCATGAGAGAACACACGTGAGAGAGACTTGAAACTGCTGTCCTTTTTTTAAAAAAAAATCAATGTTTACATTGAACAAAGCTGCTTCTGTCTGTGAGTTTCCATGGTGTTGATGTTCCACTGCCACACTAGTGTCCTCGCTTCCAGCGGGTTGTCCCTGGGTGTGCCTCCCGGTGCTGGGCGGTCACCCAGCTCCCCTCCCTTCCTCTCGTAGACGTGCAGCCATGTTCACCATAACATTTCATGTCTGTGGTGTGTGATGATGAAATTATTACTTGTGAATAGAATCAGGATTATAAACTCATTTTCAATTGAAGAAAACAAAAGTATATCCTTAAAATAATGTATTTATGGCTCAGATGTGCTGAGCCTGGGATTCTTGTATGGCTTCCTTGATTTTTTTAACTATGCACTGTTGTGAGGTGTTTGCCACTGAGCTGCTCTACTCCCTTTGCCAGAATGCCCTGGAGGGGCTGGGTGGCCAGTAGGCTGGTCCCAAGGAAGTGCGGCCTGCAGACACAGCTGGGGGCAGCAGAGAGAAGTTTCTGGGCCTTTGCTGCCCAGCTCTGCCCGTCTCTCACTGAGCAGGTTTGGGTGTAATCACATTTGGAGCCCTCGCCTGGTCCCTAGCTTATGCGTGGAGTTTGTGCCTGGCCGTGAGGGCTCAGATCCTCCCAGACCGCGTAGGGAAGGTGGGACAAGCCAGATTATTCCTGGTTTCCCAGGTGAGTCGGGCAGTGCTCTGAGTGGTGAAATGGCTTGCCCGAGGTCCCACGGCCAGTGAGAAGGCATAGCGGTGACGCAGCCCAGGAGTCCTGATGGCTGGTCCCATGCTCCCACAGTAGCTGGGGTGGAGATATAAAGTTGCAGGGACTGATGGAGGTGAGTCCAGCTAAACTGGGCAGCAGGTAGAAGCCCACAGGTACATTTTGGGGGTTGAGTCAACAGCTAACCCATCAGCATTAGGCGAGTTCAGCTCTGGGGTGTGTCTGGATCCAGGCTTCCCTGTGGTTTGCCTACACCTGTAGACAGCCATTAGCGCATCCGAGACACACCTGAAGAGGCCCAGCAGGCCGTCTGGGGGCCATCATCCTTTCGGGGCCAACCACCAATCCTTCCTATGCCCTTCAGCTTGTCTTTCCCTTTTCCTCACCTGTAAAGTTGTTTTAGTGACATGGGGCAGGGGGAGCGGAGAGGGGGATGTGCAGGTCACATGTGGGTAACACAATCTCCAAGCTCCTTCCCAACTTAGAAAACATTCTAATTGGGCTTTACTTTAAAATTTGTGTCCTTAAGTGGTGTCAAAGCCATGTCCAGCTGGGTGTCCTGTGGGGGCCCTAGGGCTGGTTGTGCAGGAGGCACGGCTGGGCAGGGCAGAGCACCTCGCTATGGGCAGAGCAGCTCCTGCACGACCTGCTTTGTCAGGGCTCGGGTTTAAAAAGCAAAAAAAAAAAAATGGTCCTGCTGCTCTGTAAGAAAGTCCAAAATTGACTCATTACACTGACTCAGCTAATTTAATCTATTGCTAATGCCAGGCCTTGTCCTTTGAAACTTGTTTTGTTTTTTTTTCCAAAGATTATCCGGTACCTCAGTAGGTAAACTGGGCCAGTGAGCTTGTCCTGGGAGGTCGCACCCTCCAAGCCTGTGGAGAAGGCTGCAGGAGACTGGCTTTAGGAGGAGCGGGGAGCCTGAGCTTCTGTGTGTCACTTGACCTCTCTGGGCCCCAGTTTCCTCTTCTGCGAAATGGACTGAGGTGGGGAATTTAGCATGTTCATCTTTAAGGTCCCTGCCAGCTCTGATCGTCTTAGTTTCTGGTAAGGTGGTATCTACCTCAAGATACCACATATATGACACAGGTACCACTGACTGCTACACACTCGTGGCCAGTGGCAGACATGACTTGTCAGCCGCAGCCCTCCTGTTCTCTGGGCTTGGCCATGCTATCAGAACCTTAAACACAGTGCCCTGGCCGACGTTACTAACTGATCAGAGTTGAACCTATTTGACATGCTGGTCTAGTCTTTGAAAGGTTTCCATCATACAGGACCGTAAGGTGGCTGGACTTAAAGCTGGTCTGGCCCATCCCTGTCTGATGTCCTGATCTAGTTCCCCTATAGCTATTTTTTGACATAAGACCTACAATACAACTGTAATACACAATCCCTTTGGGGGTGGGTGGGGTAGAGAAATGGAATAGCAGACATGAACATGTTTGAGGAAGCAGGGTTTATGAGGATAGACCAAAAAATGGACTTTCTACAGCACAGACCTGAACATTCTAGATTCCTTTTCCAGCTATTCACTGCCTGGCACAGAGTAGGCACTTAATAAATGGTATGGAATGGAATCGAATAGAATTTCAATCCAACTGCTGCCTCCCTTAAGTCCTGATTTACACCAAGGAGTAAAGTAAGATCTCATCGTGTGGAAGCCAATGGGAAAAACTCTAAATTCAGAGTCTGGAAAGCTGGGTTGAGTCCTGGCTCCACCAAGAACTTACCTGTGGTCTTGATAAGTCACAGAGTCCCTTTCCCTCTCTGGAGCTAGTAAGAATTGGACTAGGTGATCTCTAAGCCCCTCATGGCACTAGGCCAGAGATCCTACCATGGGCAGAACCACTTTGGGGTAAAAAAATGGGGATCTTTAGTGAAGAACAAGTCTCTTCCCTCCCCTCTTCTGCTGAAGCTGTCCTTTCTCATTAGGTTAATACATGGCACTTAAGTTACTAAGACAGTGACCCTTGAGCAGAGCAGAGCTGAGGTCTGAGAATGCACTGGGACACGATGTGCCTAAGGTCAGGGCTGGGGCTGCTGACGGGAGAGGATGTCTGCCAGGAGCATCTGGTAGTTTCTGCTCGCCTCCCATGCACACAAGGCTGCAAGTTCTAAGATTGACCAATCCCGGAGACAACCTTTATCTGAAAGATTCATTCGGTGCTCTGTATCATTTACCAAGGAGACTCCAAGTTCTCTCCAGGAAAACTAGTCAACCTTGTCTCTTTCCCACCAAATTAAGGAATGACCCAGAGGGAGCAACTGCCCTTGGCAACCATCTCATTGTAGCTCTGTCCTAGTATTTGCTCTTGATGATGTTTACATGTGATTGCCATAAAAGCTTACTGCAGACTGTGTTTGTAGCCGCCCATGCAGGGCAGGTTGTTCTGTCCATCTCTGTGCTGTGCTGGTGTTTTCTGATAATGTGGATAAGTGGAATTCTTCCATCTCCTTCCTCATTCGGTACAAGGCTGAATCAGAATCCTCACTTTTGGGGGCTCTGGTTACTGAAGGAAAATGCATCAAAGAGGTAGAGCATTTGAATGGGTGGAGTGCAGCAAAGACTCCCTTATCTCCTCGCCCTTGCCCTGCAACCAGGAAACTGCTTTCAGTCAAAAAGCACCAGTCAATTGTCTGTATCTGCCCTGAGGTCTCTCAGCACTGCATGTCAAATACACTCAGGAGAGAGGCGGGGCTTTGGGGACACGAGGAGGACGGGAGCACTGCTCTGACCTGCAAAGTCTTGGTACCCAAATCTGGCTGTGGGAAGAGATGCCATAAGAAGTCTTTCAGTCACCTGAAGCCTGTGCTTGTTGATGTCTAGAGAGTGATTTCTTCTCGGCATATGCAACGCGCATGCTGAGGCCACTGTGCAAAGGTGAGTGGAGGGGGCAGGAAAGGCATTGACAGCATGGTCCTTCTGCGTGGACAGGTCAGAACCCCATCCCAGGCCTCGAATGCCATTGAAATCACAATTGAGCCTGAAGCTTGAGAGACGGGGTCATCCCAGCTAATCTGCCTCCCTGTCAAATTGCGGTATTTTTCTTAGCATTTGAGACTTAGTAACTGCTCTCAGATATGACCAAGGAAGGAAATGGGATAGACAATAGGAAATGAAGTGAACCTAATGGTTTCATAGGCCAAAGAAGAGAGAACACCCCTACCCCCACCCCACCCTTTCCCAGTGGGGCAGATGGAAACCAGTTAGTACTTACGTGCAATATATTTAAGCTGGTCTCCCAGTCCCTGAGGTGTTTGCACACATAGAGGAGCTCCAGGGCTGTTTACTGAGTCTGGAGGTACAGGGTAAGTGGAGGGAGAGCTTGGGAACTGGGAAACCCACAGAGGCCCTTGCCCCAAAACAGATGTGGGGGGAGGGTGCCTGGCAGCCAACTGCAGGACATCCCAGAAGTAGGCCGAGGCTGACTTTGTAGTGAAGCCAATAAAAGCACAGAAAATCACAACACTCCAGCCTGGCTCCATGTTTCTGCACTGGCAATTAGGGTTTCATTTGGCTGTGCGAGGCACTCCGCTAGGGATTAGCATGGGGTCAGGAAGGGCAGGTGTAAGGGAGAAGAGAGCAGAGATGTCTCCCTAGATCTCAGCAGCAGGAGAGCCCATCCTAGGGCAGCCCTTTGCCAGCCTCTCTGCTGGAGGCCCCAGAAACAGAATGGTGAGTTTAGATCTTGCTACCTGTTTTTGTAAATAAGAAATAAAAGCCCAGCTGACAAGAGGGTTTGCAGAGCAAGTCATTTAACTATAAGCCATCTCAGATTGAGAAGCCTGATGTTTCTTACTTGCTATGTGATCTTGGGCCTTTGTTTCCTCACCTAGCAAATGAGAATATAGGATTGGATGAGCATTGAAGTCCCTTTCACCTCTGACAGGCACAGATTCCCATCCTGGGGCATTAGGAATCCACCACTAACTCGTGAAACCAATTTCATTCACTGGCTGTGCCCACTTCATATTCGAGGTGAGAATTCTCTGCAAGGTAACCAACCAGCAGTAGATTCAAACCCACACTGTCCTGGCTGACTCACCTTACTCAAGGGGGCCAGCTCCCCAGGACAGAGCTAAGCCATAGTTTCTAGTGAGGATGGTGAGAGGTTAAACCAGCCTGGCCAGGTGGAGGTGCCAAACCTCACATCAGCCTTGCCGTCGTCCCCATGGAGCAGCTTTTAGTTTGAATGTTGTGACCATTTGGCTGCTTCTCTCTTGCTCATAGACAATGCTAGCAATACACTTCAAAACAGCCAACTTAGGCACTTTTCACACATTTCTTTCAAATGATTGTAAAACATATGGGGACAGGAGGCATGGATCACACTGTATATGTTTAGGGCAGCTTTTGTTTTTGTTCTTTAATGGTATAGCAGTGGTGACTGAAGCTTTGAGATTTGGGGGCACATTTTCAGATACTCTTTCATTAAAATGCCTTGCAGATCCTTAGAAGCATCAAAGACATCTAACTGCCTGAATTGAGGGCTGGAAAATTATTTTGTCGGTCATTCCCTGGGCTGTGCAACATCACTTCCAAAAGGTGTTTAGATACTAGAACCCTCACTGTTAGGTATGTTTTGTCAAAGGATCACCCACAGAAGCCTGAGAAAGCCTCCCTTTCCACTTTGCCAGCCTCGTTCATGGGTGACTTGTAAAGGGACTGGTCAGCTTCCACCTCAGCACTTTGCCTTATCAACGTCTAGTCGTCATCTAATAATGGCCAAAGACTGTATCCACCAGCTACCCAGATGGAAAGCAAATAAACCACCTTGCTGTCCAACACCATCTGTGGGAACAAAGTATAACAGCTCCAGCGAACCATGTGTGTGGAGAGCCCAGTGTAACACCAATCACAGGGTCCCGGGAGCAACCACTTAGTAGAGTGTCACGCAGACTGAGAAGCACACTAGCTGTCCTGTGGGCAGAGGAGACCGAAACAGACCCTGTGTCCAGGTGCCCGGGAGGGGTTTACTGTAACTGCAATACTGGCAGTCCAGCTGCTGACCTTGTTAAGTGAACCTCTGTTAGGTGACCTGCATTGTACCCTGGGGAGAAGCAAAGAGGTTGGGTGTGGTGGTTCTGGGGGGCGAGGAGCAGGCCTGCCATGGTCTTCGATATGGTCCACGAATAACTGAACAGGTTTTTGTCTGTTTGGTTGGGTGGTTTTGTATTTTGTATTAAAAAAAATCTTGTCAGGTGTTTTGTGTTAGGAATAAAAAGTCATAAACTATTCCCAACTTTGTTTCTTGAGGAATGTTCTGATTCCTGTGGAAACAGGTTGGAAATCTCAAGGGGCGTGTGGTCAGGGTGGTCAGTGGAACAGGGAAGTGGGCTGCTTGGATTTTCAGATGGTTTGTGGGGGAGACAACCATCCAGAAGTCCAGTTTGGTGTAGTCTGCTCTGGAAATTCACCCCCGTCCCCTGCATCTCCTTGTGCCACGGTGTTAGCATCGACTTGGAGCATCTGCTTCTTCCAGAGGCAGCTACTGATGTTGATGCCTCCACAGGATCCCTGGCCCCAGCCCCAGGTTTCTAGAGAGACGGTGTCTGTAGCCAGCCTTACCTGACTTGGCACGGTGGTCCCTGGGGCCCCTTCCAGCATTTCCAAATCTTGGACTCAAATCCTTTTCTCTTGGTGTGGTCATTCAGCCTCGAGAATTCTGAGCAATAGGGAGCCAGGGCTTTCCCTGGCTCTGTGACAGGGACGGACCAGGGAATGGCTCAACTTGTGAGGTCTGGACATCCCCAGGGTTACTGCCGTAGGGGGTGTTATTTATTAGGAAGCCCAACAAGGTAACTACAGCCTGGGGTGTGTGAGTGCAAGGCTGTGTGCACCTGCACCTGTGCACGCCTGTGTGTGTGTGTGTGTGTGTGTGTGTGTGTGTATAATTACATTGATGCATTTCTTGAGAAAGGTGCAAGAATTTCACCTACACAGAGGGACACATCTGCTTTGTTGTTTATAATAGAAAGCTAAATTTTAATTTTTTAAAGGACACTGCTAATGATTGAGAATCGAGTTTTTAATTTTGCTGTTTTTTTTAATTGGTAGGGGATTTTTTATATATTTTTTTCCATTTTGTTGGGTTGTGTCCTTATTTATATAAATACTTTATCTGTAAGGCAAGGAAGAGACCTTCTCTGCTTTCAGTTATTGTGGTTGTCATCGTCCCTGTTTTATTTCTGGTGTGATTTATCTGTCTTACCTTCTAAATGAGAAAATGTTTTCCTGTATTTGTACATGGTCAGATTCTATAGTTTCCTAGATAATTTAACCAAATTGCTCTATGTATAATTATTCTGTGAGTATAAAGTTCTATTTTAACGTCTGTAAATACTTCAAAACTAGCTTCTTTTCTCAAACTCCCACTGTGGAGTTATTGTTTACATCACAAAAACTGTAGAATCTCTATGCTCATGTAATGTAAATAGTGAAGTGATCTGCTTATAAATAAACTTAACAAATACTCTATGGAGATTAAAAAGAAAATACTGCCTATAGCCCTGTCCAGGTGTGCCTGTCTTTCTTTGCTTACATGCTCACTGAGGAACACCCTGGCCATTAAATGGCAAAAGGCTGTTCCAGCTTCAGTGTCCCCTTGTCAGACAAGCCCCCAGTCAAGGGGTGCCCCCACTGCTCCAAAACTCTGAGCTCACTTTTCCTTCCTGCACAGCACCTGCCGTGGATCAGAGTGAGGCGTTCAGTCACCTCGCTGCACAGATGTTACCTTACTAACTTCTGCCACAAGTCCTTTTCTACAAAGTAACACCGCTTTCTGAACAAGGACCCCCTTGTTTTGGTGCCTACCAGCTTTCCCAGAGGCACAGTAAATATGCATGCTGAAGGAGAGATTTGGACTTTAGGGCCTCTGGCAAAAACACCCACCAATGGACAGCTACAGAACCACTGCAGGTCAGAGGATTTAGAGAACAGATTTGAATTGTGTGCACATTTGGGTAAACCTGAAACATTTTCCTTAGCTCTCTTAACTCCCAATAAAAGCAGTGAAGTGGCATCTTCAAAGACTCTTGGTCTTGGATGTGTGTGTTATTTCTGCAGTTTCAAAGCCCTCTCAGGTTCAGCCTTTATTTTGCCCTCAAACTGCTTTAACTGTAGTTTTCAGTGCAGTTTGGGTGCAAGATAACCGTGTATCCCCAGAGGGTTGAAACATTTGTGGAGAAAATTACAAACAAGAAGAGGTACAATAGCCATTTCGCTTCATGCTATGCACAGACTATTTTCAAATTGTATATTACATAAACTAGCTCTATCATTGTGTAGGTGATTTTATTTTTTCAATCTGGAAATTGTTGGGATTTCTTAGAAGGAAACACGTCATATTTCCCATTAAAATGAATGGGGATGTTGCCACCCAGCAGCAGGGTTCTCTAGCATGAGAGGGTCCTTAGGGAGGTTGTCCGTGTGACTGGCTGCTCACTATCTGTTGTCCCTGTGCTAGATGGTAAACTTCAGAAGAGCAGGTATGCTTCTCCATTCCTTGCAGGATGTCCAGCCCCGTTCATCAGGAATTCCTGAATGGATGAATAGATCCTGTCTGAGGTCTGATGACTATCCCCAGCTAAAGGCAGCCAAGCCGCAGTGTCACAGAAATGATCCCTCCAAATGCATTCAGTGGTGCGAGGCACAGATGGGAGATGTAGAGCCTAAAGACCTGTGTTTGAGATCCAACGCAGCCACTTCCGTATTGTACCAACTTGGACAAGCTACCATTTCCATCCCTGGTTCCCCCTACTATAAAATATGATGGTTTGCTTATGTTCTAAAAAATTGCTTTTTAAATGCAACATGGTGAAGGGCAAATGGTTACAAGGTCAGTAATGTCAGGCTGTTGGCTTTGATTCCTGACTCCACCACTTACCAGTCGGTTGTCCTTGGGAAGGTTTCTTAACCTCTCTGGTCTCCTCCTCATGTAATAAGGCTAGTAATAGTTTCTGCCCCACAGGATTGTTGTGAGGATGAAATCAGATCGTGCACAGCACTTAGGATATATCATAGACACTAATCAACATCAGGTGTCCCCCTTGTGCACAGTCTCTGGTGCTAACCATAGCTGTGTGTGAAGGCATGGCATAAATTACAACCTTCATTAGACAGATGGGGAAGGCTGAGGACTGAGAGCAGAAGGAGCCTGTCCAAAGGACGGAGCCAGGACCAACAGTTTCCCTGTATGTTTCTGGGTGACGTTTCTCCTCTTTACCCTGCCACTTAGCTGCTACATGTGACATGTGTAGGAACATGCCTCTGTTTAAGAGACCACTGCTCTGAGAGTGCCAGTTTGAGGAGGGAAGAAAATCTAGCTTGGGAGTTTAAAAGAAGAGGGTTCCAGAGCCAGTTCCCTAATGAGAGCATGGCCCGCAAATATGGGTGGGGCTCAAGCACTGGGAGCCCGGATGGATCTGTTGTGGAGTCTCAGGGACGTGAGCCGTGCACTCTCTGTTCCCTGTGACTCTGGGCATCTGCTTCTGGAGAGAAACCAAGTGACCTCACCTGGCCCATCACTTCGCTGGCCTACAGTTCCCTTGTTTATATAAAAAGGGAGGTTGGAGGAGATCAGTGGTTCAAAAACACGCGTTTCCTTTCCTTAAAGCAACTGCTTTAATATATTAGCTTTTGCATAACATTTCACTGGAAGGAAGAGAAGTTTTAGAGCTAACGCCTGCTTATAGGAGAATGGGGACAGGGCAACGTGTTATATGCCACCACAGGGAAGCACCTGGATAAATCCAGAATATGGAACAACTGGCTCTCAGCAATACGACACTGACCAAGAAAAAAGAGGAGGGAGCACTGTCAAAAAGAAACAAGGGAGATAATGACTGAACACAGTGTGAAACTTGTTTGGACTGGATTCAAGCAAACCAACTTTTAACGACTTTTTTACCAGTGATTGGTGATTAAGGACTGGTGTCACATTAGGTCCTGCAGAAAGCAGCCTCTGCAGTGGACTTAGTCTGCAGGGTGTTTATTAAGGAGTGCCCTTGGCACCAACACCTGGGAAAGGGAAGGGGTCGGAGTGGGCAGAGGGAGGAGCTGAGCTGTGCCACAAGCCCAGCCACATCCTTGGTGGGTCCCATGAGGAATCCTGGAGCTGGATGGCCTTGCAGAGCTGTCCCATGTGGGGCTGAGATGAGCAGGCCTGGACACCTGTGTGGATCAGCCACTGGGTATGGGCCGCCCTGGGAAAGGGCTCACATGGCCTTGGGTAACGTGTCTCCGTGCAGCAGAGGTCATTCCTGAAGGGGCTGGCTGAGGGCTGTCTGCCAATGGCACTCAGCTGCTGGGGCCACAAGTCTTCTACCCTTTGGTATGGGGCCTGTACAGCTGCTCATCACAGCATCTACCGCAACCAGATCGTTATTACATGTAATAATGATGCAGTTATGTTAAAAAACACGCAGATGTCTTAAACATGTGTAATGGAGGGGTGAAATCGTATGTCTGGGATTTGCTCTTTTAGATGCTTTAGTTAAGAAGAAAATGAAAGAGAAATGAAAAGGATGGATGAAGCAGATGTGGTGCCATGTTACATTGGAATCTGGGTAATGGGTAGGTGGGTGGGATTCATTGCACAAGTCTCTACTTTTGAGAATGACTGAAAAATTTTACAATAAAATGAAAGTATAAGAACAAAATGATTCAAAGCAAGCAGGTCAATCTGGCATTAATTAATTGTCAATTGATATCTATGAAAGCCAGAATGTTGGTTTTAGGTCAATGAAAAGTTCTCAAGGCTAACAAAATGAAAGCCACTAGTTAAGACGTAAGCTGAATTCTCTTTTAGCCTTCAAATCCTATGGCTTCTTTACTTCTCAAGAAGGTGCAGGCTTCCCACTGGCTTGGTTAATCTCTTCCATGAAGGAGGGTGCCACACTGGTCAGCTGATCCCCGCTAGTGCTACTGGATGCAGCAAGACTTGGATGCAGGTCTGTCCCCTATTGGGCCAGGCTGGTTCCCTGCAGCCCCTGCAAACAGGAAAGAGAACATACCAGGTAAGAGGAGGCTGGACTGGGCTTCCCCTTTGCCCCAGTTTGCAACCAAGAGTTGCAAACTCAAAGGCTTTCAGAGGTCAACACATAATCACACATGCAGAAGGCAAGCCAAGTGTAGGGAGAATCAGAGAAATCAAAAATGTTGACTCAGAAAAATAGCAGCACAATCGTGATGATAAATGGCAACTATCACTTAGCACCAATGTCTGAGAGTAATAGGGAGCAGTGCAGACTGTGACAAACCAGAGAGATTCCCTAGTCCCTGCAAAAGGGAGCAGTTGCTCCTCAGCTCCAGCTAATTGTCATGCAGAGATGCAGACTGGTGTGGCCAAATCTTGATTTAAAAAAAAAAAAATGCCAGAAATCTGGATTTTTTAAATCTGAAGTATTCCAATTGTAAAAATGGACTGCAAATTTGCATTTTTTTTAAAAGCAGGCCAAACAAAAGACATTTGCAAGCCACAAGTTTGCACAGACCTGCCACTAGCCCAAAAGACAAAATGCAAATTCAAAAAAGACAGCATCTCCCTCAGGATACTTTGCTGCCATTTTCTGGAAAATTGTAAAAACAATACAAATCTATGATGGAGCTGTACAAACAGCACAACTTGCAAGACCGTAAGTGGTTGCCTCACATCTGCAGCTGCCAGTTTAGAATCACCCCTCGTTGCCCAGAGCAGAGTAGAGCCAGAGACCTGTCAGTGTCTGAGTGAAGAGTGTGTCTAGAAGGGTGGGTGTGCAGAGGCAGTCAGGGCTAGTGAGGACCAGAAACCGTGTCCTGTGAAGGAACTGAAGCCACACACCAGTAAATAATGACTTGAGGGAAGGAGAGTGTTTCTTCACTGGGGCCGGGTTGGAACAAAGAAATCCCATTTGATTCCTAAGGGCAAGACTGTGCCACTAGGTGGAGGTTCAAGAGGAGAAGTGCAGAGCTTTCTGATAGTGGTGAGTGAGGCTGGCATGGAAGACAGCGCACCTGTCATCACTGGTGGTCTCACAATGGTATAGACAGGATTCAAGCTTTAGACGGAAGACTGGAAATTTGGCCTCTAAGATTCCTTCCAGCCAATAATTCTAGGTTTTCTCCTTCATGCCTAAGTAGGGCCCCAGGGCCACAGTTTTAGAACTGGACTCTATCCCACACTAGTTGGGGGGCAGCTGGGCAATCCTTGATGCAAGCCTCGATCTTGGGACTCAGGCTCTGCCCCTTACTAACTCTGTGATGTGGCCATAATACTCCATCTCTGTGAGCCTCCGTGCTCTTGTACAGAGAATGGGGGTAATAATAGGTCATGGGGAAGCCCAAATAGGAACACACATGAGACTCTGAGACCAGGCCAGGCACACTGTGAGCACTCTGTGTAGGGGCATCTGGGCCTCCCACCTCTCCCCTTCCACAAACCTTGCTTGGCTGCCTGCTGTTTCTGCTTCTCCTCCAGCACCTTCATCTTAGCATCATACTCATCAGCAAGTGCCTTCCACTCCTGGCGGTTGTTGGTGATCCCATCCAGCATGGGCGTGATCTCCTCATGGAAGCGGGAGAATTCCTGCAAGAGCGAGAGCCTCTGGTGCGGGGATCACGACCCAGGGTCCAGGCACAGAGGGAGGCGCAACTCAGCATGCCCACCACCTGAATGAGTGGCCTTGAGGAGCAGGTGTCCTGTCACTCCACAGTGCACATGCTGCCACTGTAAGGCTTGTGGTCAACAAGATCCCCACCCCCTCTCCTGCTTAAAACCCTCCTGCAGCACCCCTGTCCTTCATGGTGGGGTGCATGCTCCTTCACATACTTTCTTCAACCTTCTAGACATTCCAAATCTGTCACTTCCTGGAGTGTATCCTTCCTTCTGTCAGCTGCACACAAGCTCCCCCCTTTGCGAGGACACCCTAACTTCCCCTCTTTCCCTTGAGGGCTCCACTTAGATGTCACTTCAGGGAAGTTTCTTCTGATTCCCTAGATAAGTTGAACCACCTATTCAAAGCTCCCAGAGCCCTCTTTTCCCACATCTCACATCACTGTGATGACTCCCTTTTCCTGACGATTCCAGGAGCTGTGACCTTGGAGAAGGCAGGGACATAGTCTTCTCATTTGTAGGGTGGCCCTGGCCCAGCACAGGGGCACAAAGATGCTCAGCAAATATTTGCTGTGTGAGACTGGGATTTGTGAAGGGGATTTTTAAGTTCTCTTAACTCTAAGAATAAAAATAATGCCTCTGAGCAAAACATTTTACAGTTTGTGAAGTACTTTATCTCCTTTGATCCTCAGAAATGCCTATGAGGTAGGAAAACAAGATTCATTACTCCCAGATGTTTAGGTGAAGAAATCAAGTTGCAGATCAATGGAGCATCTTTGCCCAAGGTAAGCACAGCAAATCCCGGGCCCGCTGCAGAGTTCCAGCCAGTGGCAGCCATGCTCAGAGCTGCCTGGGTGGGGTCCGGGCTCTGCCACAGGCTGTGAGACTTGAGCAGGCCACCTGCAGAGCTCATCCTCACCCATGAAGTCAGGACGGCACAATACGTATCTCACAGGATTGTCAGGACAGCACACATGAAGTACTCAGCCCCCTCTCCCTCTTTTAGAAATGTTACTGATACAGTGGAGAGCATGGCCACTCTGCCCAGTTGCTCAGAGGACTTGAATCGGCCTGTGTTGTATCAGACATGCACCTGTTCCCTCACTGGAGCACGCACACTTCTCCACAGAAGGGCTGCAGCCCACATGGCAGAAAGAGTCCTGGACCTAATCCTGTTTCATGGCTGACCCCAGTGACCCTGCCCCATCATTTCTCATCTCTGACTGCTGTCTCCTCATGTGTAACATGGCCAAAATAAAATAACAAATAGGAGGGGGATGGTGGCACAGAGAATGTGAATTTGGGAGGGGTAGGTTTCTCAAGAGGGAGACTTTGAGCAAGAGCTTAAAGAGAAATTAAGATTATCTTTTGACAACTGGGTTGCTGTGGCCTATCGCATTTCCACCATCAGGGGAAGTTAGGAGGGCACAGTTCTGTGTTCTTCCCCCTTCCCTGTCTGAAACCATATTTAGTCATTTGTCCCACAACTATTGAGCAACTAGGGTGTGTGAAGCTCCATGCCTGGGTCACTCAAGACCCCATATGCTGCCCTGAGCACCACACACTGTTGCAAATGAGAAGCACCTTGTAAAGTATCACCCACTGGTCACTTGCCAGGGTTCATTATTCCTGATGTCTTTCAGGAATCCATTTATCAAAAACATCCTCTGAGAAATAATAAAATAAATAATTGGACCTGAGAAAGCAAATAACCTACCTTATAAACAAAGGTGCAAACAAAGTCAATGAAGCCAACCTGAAGCTTGGGGAGTTCGTCCGCCTTATTTCTGTCCATCATGGGCTGTTATGGGGGAGAAAGAGTTAACTGCACTGGGCTCCTCCTGGTGTGGTGCAGGAAGGGGGGCACATGCTACTTATGAGGATTCTTGCTTAAAAAAATATATCAAACCTGAAATTCATCAAGTTTCTACACCTGACTAGTGGTTTTCAGGCAATATAGGTCTAGAGGAACATATTAAATAACACCACAGAGGTGCAATCAACCAAATGCAGAATGTGAGAAACTACACAACAGAGGACCCACTGCCCTCAACAAATAAATAGCATATGAAAAAAAAAAGGAGGAAACTGGTACTTATGAAAGGAGATTTAAGAGACAGGAGGGAGTGTGGACTTGAATGGATCCTGATTTAAACAAATCAACTGAATTATTTTTCTTGCTTAGTCAGGGAAAATGAACAGTATGGAGATTGACGATATTAAAGAATTATTGTTAATTTTGTGAGTGTGATAATGGTGTGTGTGTGTGTGTGTGTGCAAGTTCAGATACACACTAAAGTACATACTTAAAGATACATACTAAAGTATTTATGGAAGAAATGACGACATCTAAGATTTACTTTAAGATACTTAAGTGAAAAGATTAAAAAATGCCAAGGCGTGGGCAATAGACAAAACAAGAATGGCAGACTGTTGCTAATGGTTGAATCTGGCTGATGGGTAAGTAGATTTCATTAATTAGTTTCTCTACATTTAAAAATCTTAAAAAGAAAGCAATACAAATCTGACGGCCCTTGCTGTTGACGGTGGACCCTAGGCTGTTGGAACTGAAAGGGAAATCCAAGTGTCGGTGTCCGTTTGTCGGTCCCTACTTAGCTGAGTGAACTAAGGACACATCCATTAGAGCAGGGCTCCCAGACCTTGGGGA